GACCTGAGAGGCCGCTCTCCCGCCCCCGACCTGGACCCTCCTGCACTGCAGACCCCCCCGCAACGGGGGCCCCGGACCCCAGGACTCAGGAGGTGGGCTAGGAGCGGACAGCAGGGGATAAGCTCATCCCTTCACATCCCTTTCCCGACTCCCCACTTTCCAGAGACCCCCAACCAGCCCCTCCGCACCCGCCATCCTCTCGGGATCTCCCCTTTCTCGGGGGTCTCTACCCTGACCCCGGGAGCATATCTGCCCCCTTCCCCACTGCCCCCGTCGCTCCTCCCAAGCCCCACAGTACCCCTTCTTCCCGGAGCGCATCCTTGTTCCAATCAGCCATGTCTCCCTCGGATTCCTCTCCAGGACGCAGCCAGGACTTTCCAAAAGTTGCCGCGGGGCCTTCCGATCCCCTGTGAGTATGCCTGAGCCCCGTCCCCACACTCGCCCTCCGCCCGGTAAGGCCCTGCTCTCCCGGCCCCCTGGAAGGCCTCCCCCCAGCCCGCTGGTTCTGCGGAGAAACTCCAGGTCATCTCCCGGTCCTTCCCCTTTCCCTCGTGCCCTCCAAGCTGCAGACAAGAGGCATGTGCTGACCTTGTCAGGGGCACCCAAGTGGGCTCTGTCTCTCCCCGTCCCTGACACCGCCGGATGGATGGTGGCTCCTTTTTCACACCACCGCCCCCCCACACACACGTAAGCCACTCGGGTCCCTCACAGGGGCGCGCTCTCCTGTCTCCGGGCATTTGGATGCCCTGTCTTCCGTCTGGGATGCTCTTCTTCCAGCTTTTTGCCAAGCTGATGCCTACACATCCTTGACAATTGAGTTTCCCCAGAGCAGCCTCACCCCCACTTCTGGCTCAATCCAGTGACCCTGTTGGACATCCCCTTAGCACACTGTACTTCAGCTTCGACGCACTTTCCCACCTTGTGGTTAGTTGGTTACTAATTTGTCATTTGCTCGTTCATTTGGCCAATGGTATGTATGGCGTGCCTACTATGTGTCAGGTACGGTTGTTGTAGACGCAGTGCAGTCGGCAGTAAGCATAACAAAGGCCTTGCCCTCGTGGCGTTTACACTCCAGTGATGTAAGGCCAACAGTGAAAATAATCTATACACTAAAAGCCTAAACGACTATTGCTGCAGAATGACCAGAACAACCGGTCGCTATAATGCGCACTGACCACCAGGGGGCAGATGCTCAGTGCAGGAGCTGCTCCCTGGTGGTCAGCGCACCCCCACAGGGGGTGCGCCGCTCAGCCAGAAGCCGGGCCAAGGGCTGGTGAGCTCAGTGGTGGTGGCCGGAGCCTCTCTCCTGCCTCTGAGGCAGGGCTAAGGAACATCGAGCTGAGCAATAAGGAGCAGTGAGCAGGCGGGCGGTAAGGAGAGAGGGCTCCCAGACTGCGAGAGGGCACAGGCTGGGCTGAGAGACCCTCCCTCCAGTGCACGAATTTTGTGTACCGGACCTCTAGTATTATCAATGAAAGGCATGACATGTCAGATGTCATAAAACATCAGGACAAATGGATAGTGAGTGGTTGAGGAGAGGCCATTTATTTTTTTAAATATATCTTTATTGATTTCAGAGAGGACGAGAGAGAGAGAGAGAGACATTAATGATGAGACAGAATCATTGGTCAGTTGCCTCCGGCACACCGCCTCCTGGGGATCGAGCCTGCAACCCGGCCATGTGCCCTGACTAGGAATTGAACTGTGACCTCCTGGGTCATAAGTTGACGCTCAACCACTGAGCCACACTGGTCAGGCGAGGAGAGACTGTTGAAATGGGTGGTGAGAGAAGCCTTTCTGATGAAGCGTGACCTGTGAGTAGGGCCTGGAGTGAAGATCTCTGGAGGAAGAGCTCATGGTTGGGAGTTTCTGTTTGGGACGAGGCTATCCGTTCATGAAAGCAGAGGGTCAGGCTTGCTGCCTTCTCCATCGCTGAACCCCGGGAGCCTTTGCCAGTGCCCGGCAGATGGTGCCTACTCGCTCTTTGGTGACTGCCCGTCCTAAGAATAGGAACCACATCTTCCTCGGTCTCTTTCTGCATCATGTGTAGACCGTTGGTCCAACACCCGTTTCCTGGAGATAAGCAGTGCACCAGGCACTGGCCTGTGCAGCCTTTGGAAGCAGAAAGGCAAAGATGGACTAAAGCCACAGACCGTAGACTCTGTTATCTAAGAGGTTATAAACCCAGCGACTTCGCCAACTGGAGAGAAGAAGCCACATAGACCTGAGGCGGAATCTCTGGGGTCAGACTGGGGGCCAGGATAGGCCCTTTGGTTAGAATTGGGTTTGGCTGGGAGTGAAAGAAAACCCAAAATAGTGGTGGCTTAAACAGTCTTCAGGGACTCAGGCCTCTGTCTTATTCCACCACATCTTCAACGTGGCTTCTACCTCATCATCCAAGATGCTGTTCACTCCGTGTTACTTCCACGTTCAGCTGGCAGGAAGGAGGAAGGCCAATTCCCAGGCGTAGCATACACCTTTTCTGATTAAGTTCCACTTACCAGACTAAGTTATAGGGCCACATCTACTTGCAAGGGAAGCTGGGAAATGTGGTCTTCTTTGGGGTTAGGTGGTGGCTATTACCAAGCAGAAGCAGGGAGTGGCTGTTGGGGGACAACTTCTGGTTCTGAATGTGGAAACGGCCAGTCCAGCTAATGGCTGTTTGTGCCACTCAGCGGCCATCTTCCAAGGGTGGCCAGGCTGATGGGGCCAGCGAGGATTCTCCGCACCTTGACATTCAGAAGCTGAAGGAGAAGAGGGACGTGCTGGACAAGGAGATCTCCCAGTTAATATCTGAGTAAGTCTAGTTGGGTCCCTCAGTGTACTTAACTAGTGCCCAGTGACTGCAGCCCAGTCATTACTGCTCGGCATAAAGACAGAACTGCTCCACTGGATTCAGGCTGTCTCAGCAGCCTCTCTCGGGGCCCGCATTATCTGCCTCTGCTTCTCTCACCCAGCCTGCTTTCCTCCCTGCAAGCGGGTCTTTCAGTGCCCGGGGGAAGCTGGTTCTCCCACAGCTCCTGAGTTTCCCAGCCCCTTGCCCCAGCCGCACGGCTCGGGCTGAGCAGCTTTTGAATGTGCGTTTCACACTTGAGGGGTTTCTGACTAGCACCCATGTGCCCATCGTGAATCCCTCAGCCGTGGCCAGGGTCACACAGTACCAGTGTGGTTGGTACAGGGAGCCTTTGCCAGGGACGCATCCCATTACCGTCAGCTTTAGTGGGCAGGGTCTACCCTGCCATCTCTCTGTCGCAGTGCTGAGCACCTGGGAGGCCCTTTGTGAACATTTGTTAAATAGATGTTACTCCCTGAACCTTGGGTCCTCACCAGTTTTCTATTTCTCCACCCCTCCCCCCAGAGGCTACAGTGTGGATGAGCTGGAGGACCACATTGCCCAGCTCCACGAGTATAACGACATCAAAGACGTGGGCCAGATGCTGCTGGGCAAACTAGGTGAGCGGCGGGACTCCAGGGAGCAAACAGGCTTAGAAGAGTCCCTACTCCCCATCGGTGGTTGGATTTTCCTCCTGGGCTACTGTTTGTTTTCTTTTAAAATATTTATTGATTCATTGATTGATTTGAGAATGAGAGAGAGAGAGAGAGAGAGAGAGAGAGAAAGCGGGGCGGGGGGAAAGGAGAAAAACATAAATCGATTTGTTGTTCCACTTATTTATGTATTCATGGGTGATTCTTGTATGTTCCCTGAGTTGGGATCAAACCTGCAACCTTGGCGTATCAGGGCGACACTTAACCAACTGAGCTACCCGGCCATGGCCATCTCCTGGGCATTCTGACTTGCCAACCCTCCCGTCCTTCTCAGCTGCCCCGCTCCCTGAATGCCCCTACCCCAGGAGGGCTTCTCGGTTTCAGACAGGAATGGGTCCCAAACGAGGGGAAAGAGAAGACAGGATGAGGGAATTATTGATGGTGAAGAGGAGGATGAGCAGGGCAGGGAGAAAGCAATGCAAGGTGACTGTGCCTAGTGGTTAGGACATGTGCTTGCTGGATAGACCCCAGCTTGAGGCCTGTCCTTTAGGTCCCAGGAGCTCGAGCGGGTGGCCTGTCCTCTGTCACTTGCTCAGTGAGTGTTTACTGAGCACCTGCCCTGTGCTGCTCTACAGGCATGGGGACACTTTGGAGAAGTGCACACGTGAAAGGCTCTGTTTTCCTGTGACTTCCGTGTCCGTCCATGTTGGTGGGGAGGGGAATGGTCACTAACTAAGAACACAAAGGAATTATAAAACGTGTTAAGTGCCATGAAGGAATTAATCAAAGGGCAGAGATGGAGAGGCAGGAACAGGTGGCAAGTGGGGGCGAGGGGGGGTCAGGGGAGCCCTCTGAGGGTGAGCCCATCCCATGGGAGGAAAGAGGACCTTTGAGGGAGCAGGAGGAATGTCACCAAATGGCCAGGGCAGGCAGCGGGGCCAAGCTAAGGAGGCCGGCTTTGCAGCAGGCGGGTTTGCAGCAGGCGCTGCATAGACGCAAATGTGCATTTCCATTCTCAGCAGATGGCTCCAGCTGCTCTGGGTGGAGAAAAGATTGGAGGGGAGCTTTGTTTGGCTCCTCTGCAATGGGGTAAGGGTTCAGGGAGCCTAGTTTGGGATGGCCAGGCAGGGGGTTATCTTGGCAACTGGGGGAGCAGGAAGAAGGTGCAGGAGTGGGGGCTGGGTGGTCAGGGATATGGCCATTCTCCCACTGGACATTCATCCTTCCTTTCAGCCGTGATCCGAGGTGTCGCCACCAAAGAGTTGTATCCAGAATTTGGCCTGGACATGAGTGACTGAGCGGAGGCTCCCAGCGCCTTGTCCACGGCCACTGGGACGGGCGATGTGGCCACGAGAAGTGTGAGAGCCCAAGCAGCGCACCTCCAGGCTTTCCAGCAAGCACGTGTCAGCAGCCCTTTTCTCGTGAGCCCGCCCGAGGCAGGAGGGAGCCCGGGGAAGCAGAAGGTGTGTTTCCAGCTCCAGGACTCCCGAGTGGCCCAGTGACACCTGTGCATGTATGTACGTTGTCCTCTTTGTAAATAAACATGTAGATAATCTTGATGTGAATCTGGATGCTGTCCCCCTCCTCTGATAGCCCCATCTCACTTGGGAGCCAGCCTGCCTTTGTTAGAACAATCTTATGTGAGCCGGGCACTGTGCTAAGTGCTTTACGTCCATTATCTCAAATGCTAGAATCCATCCTATGAGGATTTAGTTTTGCTGTCCCCACTTTTCAGATGAGGAAATTGAGGCTCAGAGAGGCAAAGTGACTTGCCCAAGGTCACACAGCCAGTGAGGAGCAGAACAGGGATTCGAGCCCAAGTCTGACTCTGAAGCTGTTGGTTTGCAATGCTGCCTTTCTGGGCTGGGGACAAGCAAGTAAGAGCTGAGAGTGAAATAGCAACATTGAGAAGATTTCTTACCTTGTAAACTGATCTGCAGAATGAGGGTTCCGATCCCTAACTGTAACCTCTGCCAAGCCAGGGTGAGCTGTCACTTCCTCACTGGGTGTTGCTTACCGTGACCAGCTATCCCTGGCAGGGGTGAAACTGGAGTGTCGCAACTGCTCCGTGCAATCCAGAACGGCAGGCTTTCACACCAGACCTGCTAAGAGTTCTGACTGTTCCAGCTGCCGCTCTAGCCTTGTCCTCTGGACATTCACATAAGAGTTCGGATGTGACAGCAGCCCTTGGGGACAGGCTGGCATGGGGTGAAGTAAGAATCGTTTCTAAAAACCAACCAATCAAGAAAAATATATTTTAAAAAAAAATTTCAAGTCAATACCAGGAGCAGGGAGCCATGGTCTCTCGGTCTCTGCTCACCTGCCAGCAGGAGGTCAGGGAACTAAGAAACAATGACATGTTTGATAAAAGGGGTTCCGGGAGCACATTTGAGTGGCACCCAACCTGGGACATGGAGAGACTTCCCGGGAGAAGAGACATCAATGCCTGCTGTTAGAAGGAGGCAGCCAGACAGGGATGCGGGAGGGCATCCCAGGGGGGACGTGGCATTTGCAAAGGCCCGGAAGCAAAGAACTTAGGTCCAGGGCACGAAAGGACTGAGTGCAGGGGGAGTGATTAGAAAAGGAGCCCAAACACAATCCAGTGCAGCTCTGCGTTGTGAGCAGTATTCTTTTGGGAGGGAGTGGGTGCAGTTTCATTTCCTGCAACTCACACGCTGGATGATTTAACTCTAGGATTTAGGAAGTCCAGTGAAGAGCCTGGGCAGGTAGCTCGGGTGGGTAGAGCATTGTCCCAACTCGCCAGGGTTTGGGGTTCCATCCCCGGTCAGAGCACATACAGGAAGCAACCAGTGATGCACAAATAAGTGAAACATCTTCTCTCTTTCACTCTCTTGTTCTCTCTTTCCAAATCAATCAATAAATAAACATTTTAATCCAATAAAGACATGTAGGAAAAAGTAACGGAGGGAATGCACCACAATAGTAATCATGCTTATTTAAGATAGTAGGATTATTGACTTTTTTTCTTTTTCCCCCATATTTCTATGCAGCACTCAAAGTCACCATTCTGTTGGCAATACAGAAGCTGTGGGACCCACATCTCCACACCCCCACCTCGTAACTCACTGAGTTCTCAGTCTAGCTTAATTAGTCCTGGCCTCCCTGTAACTGATGCTTTCTTTCTTTATTTCTCCCATCCCCTTTTTGGCATCAAACTTTACATCAATGTTTCTCTTTCTCTCTCTCTCTCTCTCTCTCTCTCTCTCTCTCTCCCTTCCTTCCACTCTAAAAATCAATGGGAAAATATCCTCGAGTGAGGATTAACCAAGTAAAAATAAAAACTTATAGCAAGATATCTCTCCTCCTGTCCCTTAACTCTATTCCAGTTATTTTGCTTAACTCTAATCTTACCCTCAACCCTAATTCCACATGTTACTAGAAAGCAAGGACACTTGTCACTTGTTCCCTAAGCCCCTCGCGTCTTTACAAATTAGATGAGCTGGAGTCCCACTGTAGTTGCTGTGGCCTTGCTTTCTGGCAGTCGCCCTGAGTTGCATTTCTTCTGGAAGGCAACAAAGGCACTTGGGTAGATTCCAGCTTCTGAAGCTGAGGACGAATACACTGCCAGTGCTCCAAAGACTTTTGCATTAGGAGCCAATTTTAATATTTTTTAAATATATTGTTATTGATTTCAGAGAGGAATGGAGAGGGAGAGATAGAAACATCAATGATGAGAGAGAATCATTGATTGGCTGCTTCCTGCATACCCCACACTGGGGATCAAGCCCGCAACCCGGGCATATGCCCTTGACTGGAATCGAACCCAGGAGCCTTCAGTCCATAAGCCGACACTATCCGCTGAGCCAAACCAGCCAGGTCAAGGTCCAATTTTAAGGCACTGAATAGGACTCTTGGAAGGAAAGGATCATCTGGGACCATTTCCTTCTTTTGCGATTCCCTTCTCCCAGATGTCATGGTGAGAGGCTGCCCCAAGGGGGCAGTGTCCACTCAGAGATGAGCCCAGCGGCTAGGAGGCTACCGGGGAGGGCCTCGCTGGGAAGTCAGAGGCCACAGAGTAGATTCTCCCAGCGCCTCTTAGAGAAGAGAGTGTTTTCTCTGGCAGCAATCCTCCCAGGAGTATGGAGTGGGACCCCCCCTCCCCCAAGTCAGTAAGAAGCCAACTGGTTGTGAGATGTGGATAGAGAGTGACATTTCTCAGGGCCTGCGGAAAACAGGCCGCCCAGGGTAACTCTGACCTTGTAGTGTGCAGTCTGTTTGATCACATCCAGGGCAAAGTTCCCTGAAAATATTTATCACCTGGCAAGACAGAAGTTCAAAACACAAGTTCAAAACTGCCTGCATTCTCGTCCCTGGGAACTGAAGGGGTCATTTCAGGGCAGCCTGACCTCACCAAGGGAGTGTCACCAATTGGCACCTCACATTATTTATTTATTTTGTTAAAGGTGTTTTTACAGTAACATGAGGATATGTTTATTGCTTTTGAGAGAGAGAGAGAGAGAGAGAGAGAGAGAGAAACATCAATCAGTTCCTTTCATACACACCCTAACTGGAGATGGAACCCACTACAGCCAGGCCAGCACCCCACTTTAGCTTTGCTCAGAAGAAGGGAATATGCCCTAACCGGTGTGGCCCAGTGGATAGAACATCGACCTGCGGACTGAAGGGTCCCGGGTTCGATTCCGGTCAAGGGCATGTACCTTGGTTGCGGGCACATCCCCAGTGGGGGTGTGCAGGAGGCGGCTGATTGATGTTTCTCTCTCATTGATGTTTCTAACTTTCTATCCCTCTCCCTCTCCCTTCCTCTCTGTAAAAAATCAATAAAATATATTAAAAAAGAAAAGAAGAAGGGGACACCTTGGGAAGGGAGAAAGAGGAGGAAGGCCAGGTAAGGGGCCCAGCTACAAGCAAAGGTTTCCCCTGAGAAGGGTTGGGTGGTAGTAACAACCAACATTAGGAAACACTGCGGGTCAGTGTGGCTAGGTGAGGTTCTCCCATGTATCCCCAGTTCAGTGTCCCCAAACTGAAGCTCGGGGTGGAGCTATCTGCTCAAGGTCACAGGTCTAACCCTCAGAGCCTGGCTGCCATGTGCTGTTCTACACGCCCGGCAGAGGCTCGTCCTCTCTTGAGTATCTTACCCAAGGTCATGCATTAATAAAAGGAGTCAGAACTTGAACCCAGAACTCCCTGAGTTAAGCCCAAGGTCTTAACCACAGATCTCTGCTGCGCTTCTTACAAGTTGTATCTGCACATGGCCCTGACCCAGCAGCCCGGCCAGCGTTCAGAAATGAACAGCCTCAGCTTTGGCCTTGGGCTTGGCCTTGGCCCCCTTCTCCTAATTCCTCTGAGTAGGAGGCTTTGCTCTCTTCTCAGTGAGCCCCTCATTCCCAACATCGGGAACTCTGAACAGGAGCAGACCCTCTCCTGTCTACCTCTCTGTTTCTTGTTTCATCCCAGAATCCCAAAGGATCTCAGCTGCAGTGAAATCCGGGCAGCTATCACGCTGAGCACATGCTCTGAGCCAGGCCCCAAAGCTAGCGCTCAGTGTGGCTATTGCATGTTTGCCTAATGGTTATCCCCACTTTCCAGATGAAGCAAATAAAGCTCCGAGAGGTTAAGTCACTTTCCCAAAGAAACACAGGTAACTAGCGGACTCAGCGATTGAGGGCTCCAAGGACATGCTCTTTTAAAGACCTGGGGATAATTTCTAAACCTCTGAGCATCACAAGTATCCAAGAGGGCTTTTTAAAATAAAATTTGGGCCTTGGTCAGTGATGCTCAGTGGTTGGAAAGTCGTCCTGTGAACTGAAGGATCAAGAGTTTGATTCCCGGTCAAGGGCCTGGGTTGCAGGTTCGATCCCCTGCCCCGGTTGGAGCGTGTACAAGAGGCAACCAATCGATCAATGTGTCTCCCTCACATCGATATTCCCTTCTCTCCCCACCCCCTTCTACTCTAAATGTCAATGGGAAAAAATATCCTCAGGTGAGGATTAACAAAAATAATAAAATAAGTAACGATTCGAGTCCCTAGCCCCTCCCTAGGGATTCTGATTTTGCAGGCCTGAGGCAGACTTATATATTTTTTAATGAGCAACCCAGGTGTCTTGGTACCTGGCCTCTCCGGTGAGTGTTCCTTAACAATTGACAAATTGCTTTTAATAACTTTTAATAACAAGTAATAATGTCTGATCCAGTCCTGCCTCCAAACCAGCTGTCTCTAAACCCACCTCCAGAGCCACGGGCCCCAGAGCCAGCTCTAGGCCAAACCTAGGTGGCATTCCTCTGGCTTCTCCCCGAGCCCCCCGAGACCCAGGCATTTGTCAGCTCTGTTCCTGGGCTGGAGTTTGCTGCTGCTCCACCCTCCACCCTGGCACCAGCACACCTGCCCGGCTGGTTTGCCAGGGAGGAGCCGGTCCTGCTTGCCTTCTTAGGGCTCTTCTAGGTCCTGGCTTACTAGGGGCTCAGATAGGACCGGAGAGGTTGGGAGTGGGGACCACATGGAGAAGAGTTCTGGTCACGGGGTCACTTTGAGCACCGGCTTCTCTGCTGATCACAGGGGCTCTGGAAGCCCCAGGACAGC